ATTTTATTTTATTTTATTTTATTGGATTGTCATTTATTTATCTTTTATACAAGAGATTACCATCATTCTTATCCCTTAAATTTTCAAATGAGCCACTATGAGAGTGTCATTGAATAGACATAATTTGTCCTTTAAATTTTCAAATGAGCGACCGTGAGAGTATCATTGAGTAGAAACAGTTGTAAATGGTTTTTTTTTTTTATAGACGATCTCAACTTCTAATAAGCTAACAAGGGCCAAGTGGGCTAGCTCGGCCCAGTCAACCCGGCCCTAAAAACCAAATTTTGGGCTAAAGGGCCTAGCTAAATCTATTTTCTTCTATTTTTTATTTATTTATTTTCGGCCCATCCTGGACTGGTTCGGCCCATCCTGGACTGGCACCAATAGGTTAAAGGTTGGGCTAGGGCCAAGGCTAGGCCTGCCATGCCACTTGCTACCCTTGTATTTTAACCCAAGGGAGTTGACGGATAATACACTCCCACTCCCACGGGAGTAAAAAATGCTTTGGTTATATTAAATAAAAAAATTTATTCACATATCCTAGTTGTTTAAAACACTCACTCTCATATTTCCGATTCTTACATTCAAACCCATTTTTTTCAAATTTTATTTTAGACCAAATTGCCCCTAGTTAACACTTTGTTCAAGGTCGAAAGTTAACCCTTTACTTGAAGTGCACCATTGGGTTGTTCCAAAAACAGTCTCTAGACCTTGGTCTGAATTTTAGCTGAGATTTTTTGGACTTTCAAAAGAATTGCCAAAGAAGGAAAAAGAGAAAGACACTAGAAAAATAGATGTAAAAACAATCGCCTCGAAAAACTTATGAAGTCATAAATAAGTGTGGACTAACAAATTTGTCATTTATTAGCCAGGACAATCATGCAATCGACAGCTACCTTACTAGTTTAGTTTAAATTTAAAATCGATCAAAATTAATGTTTGATTAATTTTTTATTGTTTAAATTAATTAATTTCGATTAATTAAACTAGCTTAAAGAAGGTTAAGCAACATGTTTTTTAATATATTTTAATTCATAAGCTATTTTCCTTTTTTTAATTTTTAAAATTTAAGTCAACCATTCAACTAGTAGTTGAACAATTTTAATTGGAACAAACACATTTAATCCGTCCAAGGGCTAAATCAATTCTTATAACCAGTATTCCAAAAATCGACTCGACCAAGGTACTCGAGACCTGGCCGAAGAGAGTTACTCAGACGAGTCCGAGTACTTCGCCCAAGTCCAACTCTTTTTTTTTTTTTAATTTAAAAAAATGTTACATATAATAAAAAAAAAATTATATTAAGTGTGAAGCTCTAAACAATCAATTAGAACGTATCTCAAAAATTTCACTAGAAGATATTGTTTTAACACCCAAATATCCTTAAATTGATCATCTCAACTTTCAAATGCATGGACATGAGAAAAAAATAAATAGTGCATCTTATAAGGCATTATTGGACCGTCAATTTTCAAGATTTTCAAGATTTTATGGATCTGCTCAATCTACACTATTTTTTAAGCTTTAAATTTTATAATTAGATATGAAAATAATTTTTAAAGCTATCACAAATATTTCCAGTATTGAAACCACATTTGTTGATATTATTTGAAGGTGTGTTTTACTTTGATTGTTTAGAGCCTCGACTTCATACAAATCGTACCCTATATAATATAAGCACCACTTTTATCAACAAAGTTGTAGATTGGTGCACTTTTTAGTCCCTTTATATAAATGGACATCTTTACAAGAGGTTATGAATTTCATTCTCGTTGGGGCAACTTTTTTTTTGGAACTCTAAAAATGATGTCTATAAATAACCAGTAAGCTGTTCAAGCATATCTGACATGAGAGGTCTTGAGTTTCATCCTCGCTGGGTAACTTTTTTTTTGGAACTCTAACAATGATGTCTATAAATAACAATAAACCATTCAAGCATATTTAACATAAAATTGAGGTAGTAATATATTTAATGTTTAAAAACATGTGCAACCTACTCGGCCAAAACTCAGACGAGGCCGAGTTGCCTCAGCGGAGTCTATTATAATATTGATCTGAAACACAGGCACACGTACAATGTTTTTGCTGCAAATATTGCAAGAGTCGAACACATCGTCATGGAAGAAAGGAAGGAAATAAGAGACATATGGTCCAGAGCAGGAGCCCCTTGAGCGCAAAGGAGAGCATATGAGCAGAGTAAATATGAAAGACTTCTCTATAGCACCAATACCAAATCAATACATGGCTCAGCAAAGGAACCACATTTGAAACTGTATCATTGTGTTAAAGATTGAAAAAGGGAACAGATAAAAACGGAAGAAAACTGGGAAGCCTCAGAATTGGAACTGCATCTCTTTCATGTAGCCGAGCTCGTCGAGGTGAGCTGCCATGGCCTTATTCATTGGTGGTGGGCCACATCTCAAGATCTGCCATGCAAACGGTTTCAACTCCACCATCCATCTCACATGATTTCAGATTATTTTCTTTTAAAAAAAAAATTTACTAGTAATTTTATTTAACTATATTTCGGGGAAGCATACTACAATCTTCATGACAATGGAATATTCCATGGTCACAAGTTTGTCTCTAATGCATGGATGATGTCGGAGAGACAGTGGGGTCTACCACTTATGCTCCAATGTATCCCGCTACCTCTCCCTGATTCCATTTATTAATTAGATAGCGATGACACTAACGACAATACACTTATATGGTAATATAGATCATAGTCTACTGTCCCTCAGTTTTCAATAGGTGACTGACGAACCAAAAATGTACAGCATCACCATAGCTCTCGAGAAATTTCAAATTTTGAATACGAGCAACAAGGACCCAAAAAATAATTTAGTTTGGGAAATATTGTGATCAAAATCCCATTCCTTTTATAAGCTTGGAGGTGGTATCTATGTGATTCCAAAACAATTGCAAAAGGAACTTTTGCAGAGGGACCAAAAAACAGAAACTTGGGGTCCAAAAATCTTGAGTTTGAATCCCATTTGTAAAACAAAACACCCAAAGACTTGAAGAAGGTACCTTCGCTATCATTGTTACAGTTACATCAATAATGTGAAAGCTTAACCGCATCCACCAAGTGAAAGAAACAAATAAGAGAAGCATAGTAAGAGTTCCGTACAAAAACTTGAGATTTAGACTAGAGCATTTGGGTGTTTAACAAGGGGCCATAGACTAGAGTAACAAAGATCTCTGCCACAATCTTAACGCTCCTAGTCCAAGTTCCCAGGTTGCTCTCACAAAATAAAGTATAAGAAGGAAAATGAGGATCAAGTTGTGACATTGAATACAAAGAAAAAAAGAAACAAAAAAGGGCAGTAATAAACTGAAGACATCAGAGGTTTGTAAAGGATACCTGGATGTCAGAAGCAGGTGCAGGGCAATGGGCTTGAATCATTTCCTTCGAAACGAAACCTACACCACCATTCCATACCTCGGGAGGCTAAAAAAGAATCGAAGAGATACAGTCATCAACAGCTAAAAGCAGAAATAACAAGAATACAAATAATAACAGCAATAGTAGAAACTAATCAGAAGAAATGTACTACAACAGTGGTAATATTACTGTATAGAATGAGATGTCACGCTCAAGGGCACAGTTACCTAAATCAAGAAGAGTAAAGGGGCTACCTGATTCAGAACATAGTACACTTTGAAGCGGCTGGGGTAGTTAGTTGCCATGCTATCAAGCTCTTCCTGCAGCAATTATACCGAAAACATTCAATCTAATAAGGTTTATTGTTACATCACGCAATATTAGGGGCGAAAATGGGTCGGGTCAGGTCAGGTCCAGGTCAAACTTACTAGGTCTAAGTTACACCCGGACCTGACCCCCCGACCACGGTCGGGGCCAAGTCAATTGGACCTAGATCTGCCCCAGTCCGGGTCATAAATAAAAAATCTATAAAAAATAATTTTATAATCTACAGTTACTATTATTTATATGTATTCTATATTAATATACATCAGCTGGGTCGGGTTGACCCCCACCCGATCCGACAAGATACGACCCAGACCCAAGCCAGGTTGGGTCAAGGTCAACTGGACCCAAACCTGATCCATCATGTCCATTCTCTAGTTCCAGACCTAGACCAGAACAGGTCGACCTGCCGGGTCCACAGGTCAACCCGACCCATTTCCCACCCCTATGCAATATATATACTGGAGAGAGTTAAACAACCCATCCTTTCAAAGATGACAGAGAAAAGTTACCTTCAAGAGAATGTCATCTACAGTCACATTTGCATAAATGAGATGTATTTTGGTACTGTCCTTGGGGTTCTCCAATATAGCTCTAGCCACCTAAGGTGCAGCCACAAACAAAAGGACCAAGTTTAAGGGCATGTATAATAGGTAGATATTAGATACAGAGACGGTGACATGAAGCAATGAATAGTGTAATCGAAAAAAGTTTTACCTGAAACATTGGCGTGATGCCTGATCCTCCAGCTAGCATTCCGAATGCCCTAACTTGACCAGGTTGATATTTAAAACGGCCCTGCAAGGACCAAAAGACTAACATGTGAACTACATACAACCACACACACACACACACACGTGAATACCCCTGCAAGGACCAAAAGGCTAACATGTGAACTATGTAGAAGCACACACACATGCTTGTGAAAACCTAAGAGTAGGTGGATTCGTATTTTTGTTTTCATTTTGGTTAAGTACGGGGAATGTTTGGCCAATTCCTTAAAGGATGTAGATAATATTTTATTTCATTCAATAGTAACAAAGTTTAATGCATTAAGTAGTGAGAAAAGGACTTAAGTTGGAAAAAGATGTAAGAGAACTTTTGTGATGTCACAATTTGCTCATAAATGGGATCATTATGCAGGCTACCAAGTATATCCCAAGTTCTTATCATTTCATAAAATTGGTACTACTCCAATAGGAAATATTAATAAGCTGTCTCTAAAAGACATGGCTAGACTGAAGAAAACATTTCCACAAATGCATACACAAATTACTCTAGTATCTCCCTGTAAAAATAGCATTCCTAGATCGATCGAATCTTGGAAGGCCACAGTTCTTCATAACAACCAAGGATACTGCAACTATGCATTCTCTTATTGGAACAATTAATGAAGAAACTTTTTGTCTGATCCAATTATATCCACAGATTTGAGATTCTATCTAGATCGTATAGAATAACCCACATTGCATTGTGGCATTTACAAATCAGAGATGTATATGAAGCCTGTATTCAATGCGTGAAAGAATTCCTTTATGCTTCTAATAAATCTTCTCCAAACATATCCCTCTCCAACCCTATAATAAATATATTGGGAGATAGCACTTCCTCAAGCCTCTACAGCTTTCGAGAGAATCTCCTTAAATTCTCATGGACCATCTCTGAGGAGTACAAATACAGTTCACCATAAGAAGCCACTACAAATGCCCAAAAACAAATCCATAAAGCAGCTTCATAAAGAAAGTCACATCCATCTATTGGGCACATCACATTGGTAAATGATCAGAGAAATTCACCTTTCATTTTCAGCCTTCTTCATAACATTAATAAGCTCGTGGCTTCACTTAAAATTGCACCATCAAGTTGCTAGTCCGCATGCCTTGACCCTTGGAAACGGCTATAGGGAGTATACCTCAATAAGTTTGAGCAATTAAAAGGTTTCTATATAAAGCGAAAAGTAAAAAAGGGTTCACTAAATCTGAGGGAAAATGAGTTGCATCCTCCTCTGTGTTCATATAAACTATGTCCTTTTATCCTTTTCTCTCATGTCATGCTATACCATAGGCATCTATGTCTTTAATCCTTTTATCCTTTTTTCTGGGGAAAAGGTTAACTTGTATTGAATGTGAAAGAGCTAAAAAGGAATCAGGCAGCAGATAGGATGGTTGCTCATGACAGCTTCCAAAAAAAATGTGTCTTAAGTAATGCAGATCTATCTCCTTTTATCTTTTATTGCAGTATTCCATAATGCAAGTATTTTTCTCCATATTCAACATGAAGACCTGACTGAACTTATCCATACATTGAAGAACCAATAGCAATGCCACCAATGCGCAGCGAGTGACATGCAAAATATGAAGTTCACATGTGGAGGAAGTTTCTCTAAGATCAGGATATTTTACCTTAGGACCTTTTACAGACATATAATCACCAACACGCATCTCCCGGAAATGATGAGACATTCTTCCCTGAGGATACATCTGCAGGTCACCAGAAACATAAGCACAAAGAACTTTGAAACCGGATTGATTACCCTGAATGAAATGAAAAAGAATATATGGAATAGCAATCCTGTTTAATCAACTCGGTAACTTCAAAAATAAACCAAAATATCATCTATCAAACAAGAAAGACCCACCCTACATTTGAAAGACTTTCCAATGAAAAGAACGCAAAAAAGAGAAAAAGGACTAGAAATGAGAATAACAATCAGCATCCTATAATTAACCCAAGTGGAAAAGGAATAAAAAACGAAAAAGGATAGGAATCCCAGTCAAGCTAGTGGATGCTTCCAAAATCAACCAAGCAGCAGAATCTATCAATCAAGAAGAAAGATAGAGTCAAACGCCATTTAGATCATCCTCAATGAAAAGAGAATGCTAGAGAGAAAGGAAAAATGAAAAAAAGGATAGAGACCCTGTCAAGATTACTCAAAGAAAACCAAATCAAAGAAAACAAGAAGTCTACAGTGTATTATACCAAATAGTGAAAAACGAAACATAAGAACAATGAAAACCAAAAACAAACATAAGAGACCTTAATAACCAATTCAAAATATCCAACATCAGAATCCAATGTAGTTGGGGTATAAGGCTTGATGACTTCTTCTCCAACACTATCGTTGCCCCTGCTCAAAACCATCGAAGTAACCATTGATTACAATGCATTCAAAAGAAATAGAAACCCGACCCACAAAATAATAGTCATTCATGGAATGAAAAAACTCTGTTTCTGACCTGCAACTTATATGTTGCCCAATTGGGAGACCCAATACAGATGTAGGAGTAGGAAGATCAAACCGGAACTTGGCCACGTTATGGCTCAACTGTGTCTTTTTCACCAATTTGAAATCCCTAAAGTTCTCAGGATCCAAGCAACCTGGAGTATTATAGTTGATAATTGTTTATAATCATCACTACCACTTCTACAAGCAAACATAAAAAATTCTCACCAATGTCCAGCGTCTAATGAACTAATGATTCGATCCACCTTTAACTAAACCAATCAGAGTTATAATCTAAAGAATAATACCAGTAAATTATCAATCAATTAAAAAAGAAAAAAGATACCAGTAAATCCCAAGATTTATAATGAGTCACAAAACCAAGACACAGCATAAGTAATTTTCTCACTTCTATGACAAACTAGTAAAAGACAACAAGAGGAATTTGTAACAATTCAGCAAAGGTGAGCAAGAAAATATTGCAAATAACCAAGAATATAAAACAATTAAAAACATGTGCATACCATGGAAGCTCAAAATAACCAAGTATGGTCCCTATTAATCAAAAAAACCTGAACCAACTTACTGGTCACTAGGACAACAGTTATCTGAAAGAATAACCAATTACAATTAGAAACTACAGAACAGTATCATACATTGCAGTGGTGATTCCAAAGAATAAACATAAAAATAATAATAATAATACTAATAATAAATTTAACAAGTTGTCTAGCAATGTGACAATGACTCAGAAGAATCAATCAAAAGAAATACAAAATCAACAACGTGGTACCTCCCTCAACCACATGGGTGTTTTACATGATGCATTCCTCCTCTGTTTTATGGTGATTCCCAGCTTCAGCAAGATAACAAAGGGTATCATTGAAGAGTGGAAGTCAGCTATTGTTACATACTCTAAAGATCCTTATGGTTCAATACTGGTGGAGGTGCTCACGGCTATGGTGACCTGAACAAGAGAGGTTAGACATATAACTGGGTCAAGCAGTGAACTATGAGTACATGTGGTGGTTGCTTCGGAGTAAGATTTCTCGAGTCATGTTTACAGTGAAGCCTCTCTGTTACAGTCACTGCAACTGACTTTTTCCCTCCAAACTGTGGCCTTCCTAGTGATTACGGTGGCTGGTGTAACAAGCCTAGAAAGCATTTTGAGATGTCGACTTTGGGTTTCTATGAAACTAAAGAGAAACGGGATGACATGGTGCCAGTCCAAGATAGGAGGATTAATTATCCTAGAAATGGAGGCCTACAGTTCACAATAGGTGTGAATGCATGTGTCCATCAAGTTCTTATAACAAATGTGGCTTCTGTGGAGAAGCAGTTGTAGTGAAGATAAAGCGTTCCAAGATTGGGTGGTTGTGTAGGAACTCGGTCCAGGGTTGACGATGTGTTTAGACCTCAGTGATCAGCCCCTCTCATTCAAGGTAACCAGTAGCAGTGGAAGAAGAGAGGTGTCATATAATCTCACTCCTTCTGAGTGGCAATTTGGCCAAACATTTGAAGGGAAACATCTTCGATAAGAATTCCCATGAGAATGCCAATATTGTCATAAGTAGTGGCTCCCTTAAGCTAGATCTTTGGAGTTTAACACCCTTAAGTCACTGAGGTAAGAAATAAATCAAAGTTCTTACTAGTTTTTTCAGCTCAGAAGATGATTTAGAAAGGGAAGGCGGGGACAAGGAGTTGAAATCTTTAATATCAATTTGGCTGGGGAGGACAACATTTTAGTCCCAAATAATGAAATTACGAATCTGAACGTTCAAAACTGTAAATTCCATTACAACTGGAGTACAGGACTCAAGTTCTAAAGATCTGAGAAGAAACTGTCGATTAATGATTGGATAACCGATGTAGCATGCTACAGGCACTTATTTGTGATTACATGATTACCCCAAAAGCTTTGAAATAGTAAATAAGATTGACATGGTTGATATGGGAACCAAAGAACCGCCGTTGGGCACCCCAATTTATATGCAAACCAATACTTATAATGTGAATCCATTATTTAAAGAGAAAGACACAATACTAAAATTAGGCCATGGATGGTATCAATCATGCAACAACCACCAAATAACCCCAAAGATCAAAACCCAAAACAAGTATCAAATATTGCAACTATTATTATGAGAATTAAGAAGATTTACACTCAGTAATTTAAAATGATTAGACCTGAACAGTATCAACTACTGCAACTTTTAGAAGAATCAGTGGAAGAAGCTCTTAATCCAAAAAGGTTGGAGGCCTTTTATCAGCTTTTGCAATTATTATTCACATGAATCAATCTAAAGGAAAATCAATGTCAACTGTAGCAATTATCATTTCGAGGAATCAATAAAAGACCCCCGCCCGAATAAAAAAGTGTGAATTATTCCAACTATTGCTCACAGGATTCAGAAAAAAAAAAAGACCCACGAGAATCAAAATGGATCCAAGGAAACTATAACAAATCAAAACTTTTCTCCATATTTATTGGAAAGATAAAAAAATAAATTAAACCCAATCTCCGGAGTCTTTACAATAACCCACCAGGAAAAGGTCAGATAATGTTGCAAATATCAAACAGAATGATCAACAAATTAAAACAGTAAACCCCATATCAACTATTACACAGAGTGGTAATAATATTAATAATAATAATAAAATACAAATCTGAATCAAAGAGATTTCCACGCAACAATCATAAAATGGGATCAACAAGAACGCATGAAGCAAACTATTCAGAAGAAATCTTATATTAAAGATAAAGAATTTAAAAGAAAAAAAAAGTACCTTTGGGTTTTTTGCTAAGGTAGAGATAAGCAGCACCAGCTCCGATGGCGAGAACAGCGACTGCAATTCCCAAAATCTCGATGTGGGGTGTCTGCATAAGCTCCATGATTCCTCATAAAAGCTTTAGTTCCCCGATAGAATCGATGTGATCCCTATAAAAGCTTCAAACTTTATCTGGACAATGGAAGATCACGTGAGAAATTTCCAGTCATTTGAGGGGCATTTTCAATAGTAAGAACGCTGCTGCACCTACCCACTAATTTTGGGAACATATAGATTCCTCTGTTAGTCAATAGCGGGAAGAGCTCTAAATATGCCCTTAGTTTGCTTTGAAATTTCGGATCCAACTCTAATTTACCTTCTTTTCAGAATTAGAAATATGTGTTACAAGCATAGTTAGCAAGACGAGGATGATCAGTACATCGGCTAGCTATAGAATCGGAAATAAATCGTTTTATTTTAAAAATTTTGATGAAAAAATCAGGTCAAAAATACAGATCGACAAAAATATTTTATATAAAAATATATCGAACTAGGCTAAAAATCAGAGTGGATATGTTTCAAATAAAATTAAGTAAAAATTAAAATTAAATTAAATTAAAAAATAAAATGATAAGTTGAGGATAAATATACCACATAATTTTATCATTAAATGCTTTAACAAACATCACATATATGAAAAAGGCAATGTGAGATAAGTAAAATTGAGTTGGCTATATTCATTTTTATTTTTATATGGTGGCCATCCCTTTATAACCAATGGGAAGACGTACATTTTTTTTAGTTATACTAACAACAAAAACAAGTAGAACAAGAATATGAGTATTATGCAAAGTGAAAGAGAAGCAATCATAAAATCTTCCATAAAGATATGCCGAGTAAGAGAGAGAGCATGCATAAGTACAGAGAAACAAGATGAACATAAAATATCAGAAAATATGAATAACATGGCGGACATAAACCCTAATCCAAGTTTTCCAATCATGAATTAGGTTTGGGGATTGAGCTCTAATCTGGGTTTTTTTTTCTTTTTTTAAGCTTTTGTTTTAGGGATTTATGATGTTGTATAAATTGTGATAATCTGGGTCTTTGAGTCTTAATTTGGATGGATTTTTGGTGGAATTTTATCAAGCTTTGGGGATTTTGATTCAATGGTTTTTATAGTATTTTATTCTAATTAGATCCAATGGATTTGAGTATAAACTCTAAAATAATAATAACAAACCCTAACAATATACTTGGAGATAAAAAAATATTTTTTAGGGATTTGTTTTTTGGAAATAACAATTAAATAAAGGAAAAAGTTTATATAGAGCTAGGCTCTAACAATCAAATTTGATGTTGCCTCAAAACTTTTACTAGAAGAGGTTGTTTTGATGTTCAAATATCTTCAAATTTATTATCTCAACATCAAGATGCATGGACATGAGAAAAAAATGGAGTTCAAATTTTGGAAATAGAATATTTGTAATGCATTTTTTTACCGTCAATTTTCAAGATTTTCAAGTTTTCATAGATATGTCGATCTACACTATTTTTGAAGCTTTAAACTTTAGAAATAAATATGAAAATATATTTTAAGCCTATCGCAAAGATTTTGTATTGAAACCACCTTTCTCGACACTCTTTGAAGGTAGGCTCTATACAAACTGCACCCTTACATAAAATGGGAAAAAAGTTTTCATCTTTTAGAAAAAAACAAATACAGGTAAAAAAGGCAAAAGTTATTTGGACTGATTTTTTTCGTAAAGATCAATAAGGCGCGTTTTAAATGTTTATGTGAAAAAAACACATATTTTTGCCGATCTTTTTAAAAAGTCTCAGTTTTAAACGTTTTTGAAAAAAACTCCGTATTTTTTAAAAAGTCTCGATTTATAGGTCGACTTGCTAACTATGGTTACAAGAGAGTAGGGGTGGCAATGGACCCGGACCCCACCCCGGAGCCGCGGGGTAGACCTGATTTGGGTTTGGGTATGGGTCTAAATATTAGACCCAAACATTATTCAGGTATGGGTTTCCAGTAATGTTTTAGGATCCCAATACATTAAATATTTAAATATGTTAAATACATAAATATTTTAATTTTTGGGCTGAGTCTGATCGGGTCTGTATTTAGGTTCGGGAAATTCGGTTTCGGTGGGGTCAAGGTCCGGGTCCAACCCGTTGCCATCCAACAAGAGATGGAGGGGAAAATTTTTATTGTAAAGGTAACCATGTATTGTAAAAAGTTTGAAACCAGTTTACCCAAAAACCAAAAAAGTTTTTGAACTTGAAAAGCCTGGGCTGCTCCAATGCAAAAAAGGGTTTATTGCTATGATACGAAGACGTAAAGACATGAAAAGAAATGGATTTTAAGTTCTAGAGTATCTCGTATTGCATGGACTATTTATTTTTAATATTTTTAACTTTTTATGGATCTATTCAATCGAAGTCAGTTTCGAAACTTTAAATTTCATAATTAAGGGAAAGATAGATTTTAAGGCCATTATAAAAGTGCATAAAAATTTAAGTGTGACATCAATAGGTGATAAAATGAGAGAGAGTAAACTTCGGTAGGCTAGCCATGTATGGCGCAAATCCAGTATAGCACTGGTTATAAGGTATGAGTTAATTTAAGTGGAAAACTATAAAAAAAGCAAGGGTAGACCCAAAAAGACAAGGTTCAGAGTAGTGAGAAAAGATATAGGACTTATGGCTTCACTAATGGTATGACTCTTAACAGAGAAAAAATGGCGGAGCAGAAATCACTTAGCCGACATCAATTAGTTGGAAAAAATGCTTTGATGATGATGATCGAAGTTCCTTGGAATTGCATTTTCTAATAGATTTTAAAGATATATTTACTTTAATTAAATGTTGACAACTTATATGAACTATACTAGAGAGAGAGGGAGGTAGGTAGTGTTATCAATGACTTGAGTTGAAATTCATGTTTCAAAATTCGTCGATCCATATCAGAATCACTGATCCAAATAGGAAATATGCGGGAACCAACCTGTTTCCTATTCTAAAATGGGAATCAATACAATTTTGATGGACTTGCTCGGTTCTGTTGAAGAACTGAGTAAAATCTAGATCGTTCAAATCCGATGCTTCCACCTATTTTATTTTTTATTATTTTATATATTTATATTTTTTTGAAACCATTATTATTATTAAATATTTTGTAGACCTACGCACTAGAGAATCAACCCGAATCACACATTAAGATCGCCAATTGTTCAAAAACTGGATTTGACTATTTTCGACCGACCAATCCGATTTTCCATGCACCGGTTGAAAGAAGAGTGGAGACGGTGATAAGTGGATGAGGGCCATTTTGGTTAATTTCAAGTATTGGAATGGTGTTCGAGAGTGGGACCCTCCTTTCCATTTCTCACAAAAATATAAAAAATAAAAAATAAAAATTAAAAAAAAAGGCTACCCCCTACAAATTAGCATGCAACCTGTGTAATGACTAAAGTGCCACTGAGCATAAAAGTGACCTGAATTTAGTAAGTCGTGCATGCATTATGCATTCAGCCTTTCCATTATCATTTTATGGGAAATTTACACAATTTTGTTTTAGTTTTGATAAATGATTTTAAAAATTGAATCGGCAACACAAATACCGATCTAGATCGGAGAATCCACTATCCAACTCGCATTTTACTGTGCGGAAGAAATAGTGAACCACCAAAAAAATACGTGCAAAAATAGCGAACTAACAAGAAATTGGTCTTGATAAGCGAATCGATATTTTTACTGTAGCAAAACAACATTTTTAATGTAGAAAAATGCCATTTTACTTTAGCAAATCATCGGTTCTCTTCTAGACCCAGACGATTTCTTATATTATGATAGAATCGGCACGCGGTGACTGATTCCTTATTAGACGGGGCGATTATGTTGTGACTCGGAGTTTCTTAAATCACTAGTGTTTATACTTAAAAATAATTCCACACATTTTATATCTTGTAATCAAGCCAATCTTTTAAAATCATAAAGATATTATGATATTATTTATTTGATATTTTTTTATACATCGAGGTAAGCTTGAATTTGGTACATCTATACTTACATCTATACTCATGAAAATATTTAATAAATAATTATCAAACTACCCCTATAATAAATTTACTTATTTTAAGCTATTTTTAATATTTTATTAAGTATATGATAGTGAGAATTATGTATATGCTAAATTGAGCTTAGTTTGATCTACAAAAAAATAGATAAATTTTTTAAAAAATGATGAAATATATGAGACTATTTTTAAATATGAAAAAGTAAAATAGTCTTATATATAAATTTCTCACTTTAGATTCAAAATTCATCTCTAACATATATTTTTGAAAGAAACGCATTTGAATAGGTGCACCTTATGATGCATCAAAACACATCCTTAGTTGAATTTGTAGCGTTTAGACAAGCTAAAAACAATTGTGTAATATATTGCTTCTTTTATTGATGTTTTATGGCTCCCATGGTTGAAATATCCAAATCTTATAAATTCAAAATGGGGATTGTATACAATGAATCCATTTACTTTTGATACAACATAATTTCTTATGGAAAATTGTTTCACGTGGGCTGGATCGCACGACTTCATATGCGGTCCAAAAAGTGTAAAGCATCCATATTAAAGATGGATGCAAATAGGTGTTCCATCTAAAAACAATGGTAATTTACAATCTAAATGTTTTTTTACTAGAATTATTATTTCTAGTTTTTAAAATCTACTTATTTTTTCATATTCATGATCTCCACGTTAGATATTAAATATCCTTAAAAATTAAGTCCAAAACCCCATCTTAAAAACAGATTAATTAATAGGCCCGCATTTCGATATTTGCAGGCTTGGCCGCATAGAAACCGGGTCCATTACTTATTAACATCTGAAGTGAATTTGATAGTTTGGAAGTGTCACAAATTTTGAGAAAAAATCTTTTTGATCACAATCAATGTAATGAATGCAGCTACCCAATTTTATATCCAATGGTCAAAATTAGTAGTGATCACCTTGTACTAAAGGTACATTGTATCACTATATAAATTTTCTTTTAAATATGTAGTGAAAAATTAACAAACTTTGTTTTACATGGGTTTTTAGGTTGTTATTTCCGAGCTCTTTAACTTTGATAAACTACTAATTAATTAAAAATAGGAACATATTGATATAGGTTTTCCTTTGGTTGTCTAGCCCAAAGTGAAGAATATTAAGAGAAACATGATCTTAATCTCGTGAAATTCACCTAGCCTCAAATAATTGGGATAAAGTTATGATGATGATCTTAGAAAGTTTGTCTGATAATAAGTGTATATTTAAAAACGAATTTG